GGCTACTCAAATATTTTACGTTTTTGATACTAAATTAACATCTGAAGTATAATTTTTTATTGATTTTATATTTTTCAATATATTTATTTTATTTGTACAAAATAAAAAAATAATTTTTAACGATACAATATTCTTTGTTAGGCTTAACATCGACGAAAATTCAACGCAAAGCGACACGCAACAGATAAAAATTTTAACATCGGATACGTTAAACTATTTTTTCGTACATAAATCGGTTATCCGAAATATCAGTTATACGAACAACCCCAGTCTCCAATTGATTCGAACAATCGATGCTCTACTGTATTATTTTTTTCTGTTAAACTCTAGTTGTTACATATAAGGACGCGAATATTTTCCTTTTAGAACAGAACTATTTTATAAATTAATAATTTTGTATTTAAAACTAAGTGTAACAAGCTACTTAAATTATGAACCTGGATAATGAATCTTTCTTAATGCTTGGTTCTTTTTGACCTATAGACATAAAAAACCTTTACTCTACATTTACCTGATTTTGCCCAAATCCAAACGAAGTTGAACATATTTTAAAATTACCGTGCATAATATATTTGCGAGTGTTGGATAGAATTTCATTCCAGATTCCCAGGGAGATAGGTTGAAAGTTTAAACACTCTGCATATCGTCCATCTAATTATTGGCATAATATGAACAGACTTACTTGAAACACCGTCATCTCTGTTAGGGTATTTAACTGCAATTCTCCACGTTAAAGTTGAAAAATGGTTATATTACGACTCGATTGACAACTATTCATGCCTAATTTCACGATTTACTTATAAATTTTTAATTTGAAAAGTATTGTGAGTGATATAAATGTATATTTAATTAATAATAACAATTGAAAAGATCAGAGACCGAAACACAAAGTGAGTGACACAAATATCTAAGAATTTGCAGTAACTTATAACCATTGTCTACGTAACACAAACTAAAAAGAAACATAATTTAGATTATGACAGTATTCTTCTTAACCTATTGCAGTGAGTAAATAAACTATCACACACGAAACATTTTTAACCAGTAATTTGTAACTGAAATTAGATAATCTTTTCTATTTCAACTGTTCTAACCTTTTATCGATATTGGACGTTGCTTCGTCCATGACGAGAATTTTATTCCGGCGAAGAATGGTTCGGGCCAGACAAATCAACTGTCTTTCTCCCACGCTGAAATTCCTCCCTCCTTCCGTTAAGTGCGTATCCAACCCTCCAGGTAATTTACTAATAACTTCTTTTAACTGTACCTTTAATTTCAGATGTTTTTGAAAGTAAATACAAGTTAATTAAGTTTAATAGTTGAAGGAATTAGAAAGAAAATCAGGGACAGAAATGAAATATTTATTTAATTCTAACCTCTTCTATGACTTTCCACAGAGTTTCTTCCGAATATTCGTCGAAGGGATCGATGTTCCTTCGAAGAGGACCGGTAAACAACATCGGTTCCTAAAAAACATGCCGTGTTAATCTCTTCTTTTTACAATAATTTTAAATATTAAATAATATGCGTTACAGTTACGACAAAAGTAAATATTAAAAATATATTACTTCAATGACTATCTTAAAATACGAACAATGCCAATATCATTAATGTGTAAGCGATGCTGCGATTATCTCTTTTCACTACTTGTATTAAAGTATTTTTTATAAGTTTGAACTACCAACGATTCAAATTGACTGCTAAGAAATTAATAAATTAATTAATATGATTTTAATGTTCTGATTTTAATTAATTACGAAATTTGTACAATGTCATTAATTCGGAACATGAAGAATCAGGATATCGCCAGATTATAAAAAATAACGAATCATCGATAAACATGGTCATCTGGCATTATTAATTAATCAGAGAATGCAAACTATCAGCTAATTTTCATAGAGACAGAGTTATACACTTTTTGGCTGTAGTTCTTAGAATTCTGACAATAAGGATAAATGTATCGATTACAATTAATTAATTAATGCCTCTACTCTATTTAAATATAACTTTATTCATGTTACAGCGCAAATAAGGAAACTTTACTGTCTTGAGCCAATCTTTTCGAATTCATGCATAAGTAAAATAAGTATTATAAGTCATTAATTGGCAAACATTAATTATAAACAATAATTGCTGTTAGTGTATAATCGATTGTCATTAAAATTATATGTTTTTCTACGAAAAGAAATTTATTCTATTAATAGTGAATGCTTGTAATCGATGAGTATTCTGGGAAAGTACGTAAGACCGGGGAGAGAAGTGCGATCATCCTCCGGTAATTAAATTTAAAATTGTGTTTTCACTGGGTTTTGAACTAATTTAACATTCCAAAGACGAAATTTTTCAGAAAAAAATTTCTTCAATTCTGGCTCTCACATTTCTGTGTCACACTTCAACTTAAGGCCGTCATTCTTATTACTGTCCTTATCAATAAATTAATTGATTTTTTTGGTCATTTCTCCATAGTACAAAGACTTCTTAATGTTAATTCAACGACAGGGATTTTGTCTCCTCTAGCGAAGTGCCGCCGGGGGCAAGGGAAACTTAACTTAAAGGCTGCTATACACCATGGGTTAATCCTCAAAGGAGTAACCATGCATGCCTGATTTTGAGTCATTCCTGGATGTGTGGGGGGGGAATTTAACAGTTTCGGCGAACTGTACCGACCACCCGAGTAGAATCGGCCATATTCTTTAGGTTAATTCCCAAAGGAGTAATCATGCACGCCTGACCTTTATAATTCTTGGTAGTTTATGGGGGACAATTTAACAGCTTCNGGACTTCTGCTTTGCCTGCCTATTTAATTGAACATTTCACATTAATATATTTTAATCTTTACAAATTTATTTATTTATTGAAATGTAAATATTTACAATCAACTCGCATAGGCTCATTTTGAGAAAGTTCAGTATGAGAATCACAGGAAGGGTGAAAAAAAATTCCCTGCGCTATTTTTTCACAGATCTGCACATAAGAGAAGTAAATGCTCTGGACCAAAAATAGGGCATAGAAACAATTATGAGCCTATAGATTTGGTTTTATTAGACCTTAGACACAGGTATGCTACAAATTTGGTTTTATGACATCTATGCAGCCCACTACAGGTATATTTATAATATAAATTTATAATATTTTGTTTTTTTCTTATTACACATTCTGTTCTTTCATTTTGAAGAAAACAGTGATGAATGTCAATGTACGAACGAAGATGAAGATAATCAGACATCTTGTCTAGTATTTCGGGACTGTAGCAATCTCGTTAGCCAGCCACTGTCATCAAAATCAAAACAAATTAATGAATTGTAATCTCAATTGCATAATGCATTAGAGTTAAAATAGTGCAAAAAATTTAGAAGAATATAAAGAGAAAAGAAAATTAAACTCTAGAGTCAACACATAGAGTTTAAACATGAAAATAATTTTCAACCCTGATCAAATAACAGACCTTAGAAACGTGTCAACACGGGAAATAAAATGAAAAAAATAATACAATTAATAGGCTTTACAGTTAGGATTTGCTTGTGAAAGATCAGGCTATAAAATGTTAATTGAAAAAGGCTTGTCGCTTTCTTTCTTTACAGATATTACGAAGACGACTACATGTCATTTATTTTGAAAGTAAAATACTTCGCGATGTGTTCTCATATTTAAAAATAAAGTCACATAAAATGAATACCAGTAGTCGTTGTTTGACACATCCTAATCACAAAATTAATTTTCTAATTACAAATTGGAATTAAATTAATGTTATTTTAACAGTAAGCCAGAGTTTTTGTATTCATTATGAAATGTTTTTTCATTCACTTTATCTAAAACATGTCATACTCATGGTCTAATTTCTGATATTTTATAAATTAAGATTACAAATAATTTCTCGAGTAATAGTTTTATTATCAATACTAGAATTAATTATTTTCTCGATGGATATTTGTCTTAATATTTGGGTACATGACAGTTTGAAATAATATAACACTGAAATTATTTTGAAAAGGTTTTTATTTAAGTGTTTCCAGTTTTTCTTTCAGTTTATCTTAACAAAGACATTTCTGCACGTAATAATTTTTAAATTAATTTTTAGGATATAAATTATTTTGAGATCAGAAATTTCTCGAGTAAATTAAAATTATAAATAATTTTAATATTTAGCAAACTCTTCAATTCATTTCTTACGAAAAGATTTTCATATTTAGAAAACTTTTCAGTTCAATTTATTGCTTCATATAAACTTAATATGCGATAATAATTTTTACAATTTGTACTAACTTCCCAAAGTTTCATGGCAATCGGATAAACGGTGTGGTAATGCATGAAGGACAGACGTACATTCATTTTTATATATATAAATTTATTTTAAAGTGTAAAGGTTTAGCGTTTTATTTGTGTTCAGAAAACCTGGAACTTTCATGAAGATTTTATATGAATATAAAGTTAACATTTTCTGCTGCGCTATTTCAAATATGATATTTTGTTTAAAAAAACATATAGTTGTTATATTGTAATTATAAAATAGCAAAAACGCTGAGTTTTGAATTTTGAGATAGGTTTTTACCAAAAATTCGTAAATGCTATCAAGCAAAAAAGTTCCTGATTAAATTTGACCCCATTCGAAATATAACACGACATCCTTCTATCTTTGCACCACGTTGTCGTTTAACCACCAAAATTTAATGCAATGGATGTCCATTACATACAAGCTACCGTGTTAAATTTCGTTCCTTGATCATTACCTCATTCCGAAATATTAAACGAAATAGACTATTTAAGTTTACTTTTAAGATATAAGTGACATAGACCGATTAATTATTAGATATTGGAATAAAAATAATTCAAAAGCAAACCAATTCAAAAAAATTTTGGCTAATTTTATTTTTACTTATCGTGATGCAAATTTTTGCTGGGATACATATTTAGAATTAGAATTATATTTTCGATTAAGATTTTCCTAATGGAATTCATAAACAAAACTTGTATTAAATTATTTAAATTAAACTCATTTACTGTTTTTTAATACTTGAAAATTCACTTCAATTCTTAAATTAACCATTGTAAGTATTCCTAAAACCATTATCTGCTAAACCTTCTGATTACTTTCAATGATGTTTACCATAGATAAATTTAACAAACTCACAAATGTTAAATATCATGTCAAGTAAAACATGTCAAGTAAAACGTAAAATTAATTTTATATTTTACTTGATGTGCGAAAATACTAACTTAATGTTTAAGAACTTGACTTAATATTTCTAAGAACAGGATTAAATAAAAAACGTAACACCGGATCTGTAAAAGACGGATATACATTGAATACAATCCACTGTTTTATAGTTTTGTTTGTTCGACCCTTTCTTTAGCGTAATATTTCGCTTTGGCAATTTTGTATAATTCATTCATTGAAGTTACTCCCGTCTTCTTAACCAAGTTATAAAATATACCGTTTACGTTCTTCAGTAAGGCATACGGCGAGTCAAATTCTTGTAATTTCCCGGTATCTAGTACCTAAAATTTTAAAATATCTAATTAACAAAACATTTATTTTTATATTAATTATTTATATATCATCAAAAAGAAGAATCTTACCAGAACTCTATCCGAATCGATGATTGTATTTAATCTGTGGGCTATTGTCAACACAGTACAAGATTTAAATCTTTCTCGAATTATTTTCTGTAGACAGGAATCGGTCCTTAATTGAAAAAATATATATACGTTATAATTAAAAATATTAATATCAGTATAAAACACAAATGACGTATTCGGTAAATAGTGAAATTGACTTCGAAATATCAATATCTACAACGTTTCATGAAAACTCAGACCAATTACCATGCCCGTGTTTTTTTATTTTCTGTCTTTCAGTTATTATACATGTTAATAGAGATTTTTTCGGTAAAAGTATCTTACAGTATACAATACTAGCTGAATAAAACTGAATTAATCTTTCGTAACACATCGAAGATTTTTCTAACCGCATTGCCTTTCGGAAAGACTTTCAATTCCAAATATCAAATGGTTGAGGAATCGCGAATTCACAACCTGTGGTTATTAGTTTCAGTCATTCAAACTACTCAGCTGCCCAGTTAAAACGACTATATCTTTTGTTTGTATTAAAAAAGTTGGAAAGTTGCGATTTTCATCATAAGAGTATAATACATCTTGTAGTGCATCATGCAGTCGATGCAATAAAAAAAAAGTTTTTTAACAACAGTATTTATGCAAGCGATGATATATTAATATCTTGTTTTCCAAATTGTTTAAGTCAGTAGCGTAGCGTAGAGAAGCGGCACTTTTTAGGGGGCGGCAAAATTTCACAATAAATAATAATAATAATATCTTGTAAAAATTTGAACCATTTCATTTCATATTGTTGTCGCAACTACTATTCGGACCGATCGAAATGAGCAAGGAATTTTTCATTACTTATTCTGTGAAGAAACTAAATTTTAGCCTTTTAAATTGAGATACCTAAATAAGGGGGTGGCTGACTCCCACGCTACGCCAATGATTTAAGTTCTATGTGTACGAGTGAGGATGATAAAGTTTTATAACTATCCAAACTGTCAGAGCTTCGTTACATGCAGAGCTTCAGAAGAGAAGGAAAACAAATACAAAGTAAACACGAAAATGACACTCCAGAGTGAAGATGGCATGTTACAAATGCCATTTGCAGACAAATAAAAAGTCCTGATACATCTAACCGTTTATCTTTACACAGTAAAACATCAATGTAACGTAAATCGATCAGTTATTTACGTTTATATTCGACATTACATATATATATATAAATGACAATGTTTGTTTGTTTCTTCGCTACGCACTCCTAGGCTATTCAAAAAATTGCTTCAAAACCTGGTACTTACGTTAATATACTTCTGTCTTGCATAATTGCCTAGGCGAACACTAGACTACTGGGTAACATTTGCATTTTTTGTCCGAATTAAAAAAAAACATTTTCACGTTAGCTTTTAATGAGTTTAGTGCCGCAATGCTCATTTGACTT